TATGTTTGATCTGAAATATCGAGTGATGGCTGCTACGGCTCTCCAGTGTCTCCTTATCCTTCTGGTTAAAATGTACTTTATTTCAAGCCTGGATTTACACCGCTTTGGTGTCGCTGTTAGATTAACACTTTTGCCTGCTAAATGGAAGTGTCCTCTGCTGTGGGAATTGTTTCCTGAATAGGTACGAGCAAGGGAAAATACAAAAGTTCATCCTTTTCTGACAAGTGGAAGGGAGTTTCCCAGCCTTTATTCAGCCCTGTGGTTCTGCTTTGCTGCATGTGGCTTTACCTTCTTCCCACTCAGATGCCCAGCCTTGCTACGTGTCCAGTGGGGTTCAATCCCCTTTCTCTGCTTTTTGATTTGGGCACGGAGGAAATGCACCCCACGCTGCTTTGGTGGTCGAGACCCTTGTGGGTCCCTGCAGCTGCTCCCCAGGTGATGGTGCCAGAGAGCCCGTGTCCGAACCCATCCAGCGATGCTGTCACAGCCTCCTGTGACTGAGAACCTCCAAACTTCATCACGTTTGTGGTTACAAGGCTTCCTGCCCACGTGTGTTCGCTGCGGTTCTCTTTGCTGCCATGCTAGGTTTTGCTGTTTGCTTAGCAAGCCCCGTGGTGTTTGCCATGGTGTTTGCCCTCACGTGTCCGTAGACGGCGGTCGGATCTGCCTGCGTTTTGCGTGGTTGCACAAGGCAAGCCCTTTCTGAACCTCTTGATAAAATCAACCACCTGCTGCCAGAGCCCTCCTGCATCTGCCATAGCTTCAGCTTGTCCTCTTGCATGTCCACAGCCTGTGCCCTTCCCTCCCACAACGTTGTCCTCTCCTGCCAGGGCGCGTCTGCTTGCAGTGCCGCTTTTCCTGGGATTTATCCACCACTGGGGAGCATCCCGAGGCCGCTGCCAGCTGAGCAGAGCTCCTGCCCCATGCTATTCATATCCTTGGCACAAACAACCTCCTGCACAATAACCATTGTGTGAACAATTCAACCGCAAGGAGCCTCAAGCAATCAAGATAGTTGTTTAACATCCCCTCCGCAGAATGTACTTCAAATCAGCCCTGAGTGTCCTGCTCAGTACAGGAATCTTCTGGGACAAAATGTGTCCTCCCAGAGAGGGGCCTCGGCCATCATGGACGTGTGAGAGGAGGTGTAAATCTTTGATGGTTGTGGACAGAGGTCTCATGAGCATCTTGCTAGATACTTGACTCCTTACATTACTAATAGTAGCAAGTGTGACGAACCTGGTTTGTGGTGGGGTTGATGCAGCGGGGGTAGGGAGGTGTGAGTGTGTGCGTGCGCTCACCGCGCAGCACCAGCGGCTGCAACCGCCTTTGCAAAGGTGGGGCTGTGTCCATGCACGTCCCGCATCGTCCCTCCGGTCCCGCGCGCTTGTCAGGGCTGCTGGCCACCATCAGGCAGAGGCAGCCACGTGCATCTCCTCTCCTCGCAGGTGATCAAGCAGCTGATGAAGAAGGAGTGCACCCTGGAATTCTCCCGTGACCGCAAGTCCATGTCCGTGTACTGCACCCCCGTCAACACCAGCCACAATTCTGCTGGCCCGAAGATGTTCGTCAAGGTAGGGGCCGAGGTCGTCCTTGCCTGCTTGAGGGTGTTGGCGGCCTCCTTCCCTTGCCCCCAGCCCTGCATGCACCCAGGTGAGATGCTGCTCATGCAGGAGAAGGTGGTGAGGCTCTACTTGTCGAAAAGTGGGTTTTTCAGACCTTGGAGGCTGTTATTTCCTCATGCCGAAAAAGCTCTGCACGTAGAGGTCCTATGAGTGGAGCTAAGTTGGATGAAGGAGCGGTTGGAAAGCGCTGCTGTGGGGCAGGAGAAGCTCCGGGAGCATGTGGTGGTTTGGGGCATAATCCAACCTCTGTGGTTGCTTCATTTGTGTCCCCCACAAGCTGGCCAGGACGTCCAAGAGCCAGCAGGTAAACTGATGTGAGCAGGTAAGAGGTGAACCTGTGCAGAACAAGAAGGTGTAGAAGGCTGAGAGGGGATCTAATCAGTGTATATAAATACCTCAAGGGAGGGAGTGCAGAGGACGGGGATGGTCTCTTTTCAGTGGTGGCCACTGATAGGACTAGAGGAAATGGCCGGAAACTGAAACATCAAAAATTCCATAGGAACTTAAGGAAAAATTTCTTAACAGTGAGGGTGACAGAGCACTGGAACAGGCTGCCCAGAGAGGTTGTGGAGTCTCCTTCTCTGGAGATCTTCAAAACTCGCTTGGATGCAGTCCTGTGCCATGTGCTCTAGGTGTCCCTGCGTATGCAGGGGGGTTGGACTAGATGATCTCTAGAGGTCCCTTCCAACCCTAAGCATTCTATGATTCTATGATTCTATGATTCTATGAAGGAGCGGTTGGAAAGCACTGCTGTGGGGCAGGAGAAGCTCCGGGAGCATGTGGTGGTTTGGGGCATAATCCAACCTCTGTGGTTGCTTCATTTGTGTCCCCCACAAGCTGGCCAGGAGGTCCAAGAGCCAGCAGGTAAACTGATGTGAGCAGGTAAGAGGTGAACCTGTGCAGAACAAGAAGGTGTATCATTTGGAGGGAGAAAAAGAGCTGGATCTCCGGGCGCAGGATGCTGGGGCAAACGAGAGCAGCCCCTTCAGGAAACATGGGCACTTGCACTTATGGATTGTACCCTCTGACTCTGGCAATGCTCAGGGGCCTGCACTCAACTTTGTGCTATAACCAGAAATAAAAGAGTATTTTAAAGAGATTTTCTTCCTGAGAGAAACAGAGAAGGGACAGGAATTTCCCCCTACAGTCTCTGAGAAGGTTTGTATATTGTTGTTCCCACTTGGGAATGTGGATTCCCTTCTGGATGAACTCCGTATTCTCGGTCAGGTCAGGGTTGTCTGAAGGCTGCTGGAGCTGCAGACTTGGGTCTGTGGGATTGCATATGGTCCTGTGAGCGCTGTGCTAGAGGAATCCTGAGGGTCCTTTGTAGAGTCAAAAGGGCCATAGTGTGTTGCTGAGACATGAAAGGGCACTGGGATATGTGTTCCTAAATCATGCAGGCATTGTGAGCATCTGCCCGTGGCTGGAGGAGGAGACCTGCTCTCCTTCCTTCAGACCTGGGATGGGATAGGTTCTCTGCGAGCAACTCCTGGAGGCCTGTAGGTCCAAAGGAGTGAGATGGGTTCCCTGTAGGGCCAGTCTGGTGACCTGAAGAGAGTTCAGCACTGGCGACTGCGTGGTGCTGCAGCTGAGGGTGCCATCTAGTGCAGACTGAGCACATGGAGCTCGCTGTCTCAGCAGCCTTTGCAGGGAGAGTGCACGCGCTCCGTGCGTTGCCTTCCCACAGCCTCTCTCTTCAGTCTCTTCAAAGGACAGTCAAACTCCAGTTTCTAGTTCCTGTGGCTGTTTGAAAGGGCTTTTTACTCTCAGTTGTACTTCTCTTACAAGCCTGTCCGCAAGATCTTGGCCAGGGCTGAGGGCTGGTTGATGCACAAAGTGCTTTCTGGGGCACTTGGGGAGTTTCGCCTCTTTGCAAGATGTTACCTGGGGCCTGGGGTGTTCGGGCCACCCTTACGCCAGCTCCTCTCTGCCTCCTTAGGGTGCCCCGGAAAGCGTGATCGAGCGCTGCAGCTACGTGCGCGTGGGCACGGCCAGGGTCCCGCTGGCCGCCTCCGTCCGGGAGAAGATCATGTCCCGGGTCCGCGACTGGGGCATGGGCATGGACACGCTGCGCTGCCTGGCCCTGGCCACCAATGACAACCCTGTCCGGAAGGAGTCCATGGAGCTGGATGACTCCACCAAGTTCGTCTGCTACGAGGTAACAGAGACTGCAGCAGCTTTCCTTAAGGGCCAAAACTGCCTGTTCCACCAACTTCCACTGCCCTAGCAGAGTTTCTCATGGGCTGTCTGGTTCTGTGGGGATCCAAGCAGGGCAATAGTTCAGCTCCTCTCTTCCAACTTGACTGCAGATCTATTTGTGGTGAGCTAGTCCCCAGGGGAACAATCCCTCTTCCCTAAGCACTTACCTCCCTGGTTTGTTTTTTATCAAGGGGAGCAGCTCTGCTGATCCTGGGGCCTTCTGCTGTTGCAAGAGGTGCTCAGGGGCTGCCATGAGAGGCAGGGATGTGGAGAATAAAGTGAAAAGCAGATAAGCACGTGAGCATCTCCCTGCAAGTGGGTCACAGTGGTAATGGTGTCTGAAGGAGCAGGATGCATCTGAGAGGCTTTAGCTTCCTTCTTTGGAAATAGCAGGAAATTTCCCAGTGATTTTACTGGGGAGCAAGACCTGATTCCTTGCAGGGAAAATCCTCCAGCATCCTTAGATCCTTGTGCATGGCGTGATTTAAAGATGGCAAGAGAAGATGGCTGCATTCCCAAGGAAGCCTGGGGAGATCAATCCGCCTCCTCTCCTTTTGCCATCAGGACAGCCTGACCTTTGTGGGTTGCGTGGGGATGCTGGATCCCCCCCGCAAGGAGGTGACCTCATCCATCGAGATGTGTCGCAAAGCCGGCATCCGCGTCATCATGATCACAGGGGACAACAAGGGCACGGCCGTGGCTATCTGCCGGAGGATCGGGATCTTCTCGGAGAGCGAGGACGTGACAGACAAGGCCTACACGGGCCGGGAGTTCGACGACCTCTCCCCGGAGGCGCAGCGGCAGGCCTGCCGCTCAGCCCGCTGCTTCGCCCGTGTCGAGCCCGCGCACAAGTCCAAGATTGTCGAGTACCTCCAGTCCTTCAACGAGATCACGGCGATGGTGAGTCCCGCGCCAGTCCCAGCCCAGCGAGATGCCAGGCAGGGCGACTGCATCTCAGTGGGCCAAGCCTGCTTTTGCATGCCTGAAGGTTGGCTTTGTGCCCAGCCTGTTTCCTTCTGTCCTTCTAACACGTGCCATGTGCTTCGTTCAGACCGGCGACGGCGTGAATGACGCGCCTGCCCTCAAGAAGGCCGAGATCGGCATCGCCATGGGCTCCGGCACCGCCGTGGCCAAGTCAGCGGCCGAGATGGTGCTCTCCGATGACAACTTCTCCACCATCGTGTCTGCTGTTGAGGAGGGCAGAGCCATTTACAACAACATGAAGCAGTTCATCCGCTATCTCATCTCCTCAAACGTTGGAGAGGTGGTTTGGTAAGAGCTTCCTGACTCCTCTGAGCCTCAGCTTGAGGGAGGGGGGAAAAGAGCAGGAGAGATGTGTCCTTTAGGGTGCCAAGTGTGGCCCAGCTGTGTCTTCCTCTCCCCTACATGTCCCTTGATCTAAAGTATGACCCCAGGTACCAAACAGGAGACTCGGAGTTGGGTGCCTTACCTCATTTCCCAGGAGCAGAGAGATTTTCTTCTTTCAGCATTTTATAAACACATCTGCCCCTCCAAAAGCAAGTGCAATGAGGTGTGTAGTGCTGCCTGCTCCTGCCCACCTGTCAGTCCCATGAAACAACTCCCCATAAATCAGGGCCCTCTTTGACAATGTGGGCACAACCTTATGGCAATTAGGGATCAACTGGGAATCCTTTGTGCTATTGATTCAGCAAGGATATCTGCACTGGGAATGGGAAAGCAGTAAAACATGGACAGCATCTAATTTTAGGACTCTCTGCGTCTTTGGCCTGCAGCATCTTCCTGACGGCGATACTGGGCTTGCCCGAGGCCCTCATCCCCGTGCAGCTGCTGTGGGTCAACCTGGTGACGGATGGGCTGCCGGCCACCGCGCTGGGCTTCAACCCTCCCGACCTCGACATCATGGACAAGCTGCCCCGCAACCCCAAGGAGCCTCTCATCAGCGGCTGGCTCTTCTTCCGCTATCTGGCCATCGGAGGTGAGAGTCCTGGTGTGTGCTGGGCTGTGTTTCCTGCTGCCTATGCTCTTCCAGCCCCTCCTGGGGCCTGCTGGCTCTCCTGCCCCATGCTGCATTGTCCAGCAGGGCTGGATGTGTCTGTCCCATCATAGGGACAGGCTGTGGGTCCTCACACTGTCACAGAGTGGCAACCACGGTGCTTGTGGTAAGAGTTTCTCTCTCTTTGGCTACAGTGTATGTTGGCCTGGCAACGGTGGGGGCAGCAACCTGGTGGTTCTTGTATGATGCTGAAGGGCCACAAGTCTCCTTTTATCAGCTGGTAAGTTGGAAAGTGGTGATATATTGAGCACGTAATGACTTGAATTCAAGTCCTGGAGCTTTTGCCTCTGTCTCCTTTCTTCTTATTGTAACATTCCCAATTCCTGATGGAAAAGACAAATTTAAAACATAGCAAATGTTTTCCCTGAAGTCCATGTTCCTATCTTTGTTTCAGTCATCAAGCAGTGGGGACAGGGGAACTTTGTATCTACTGCCAGCTTAAAATGCACCAGTTATTGCACTACCGCAGGGTCCTAGGGTCCGACTGGCTCACTGGGAAGCAGAGTCCCATCGTGCCCCTGCTGAAAAGCAGTTCTCAGGGGTTAGCAGAGAACGTTGCAGCTTCCAGGCTGCAGAGCTCTGGCCAGAACCTGAGCTCCCTGGAAGGAGATAAGGTCTAGGCTTGCCTCCAGCTTTGTTAGCTCTTTCCTCAAGAGTTCATCTTCAGGTTCGTTTCATCCTGCCCTGCCCTCTCATGTGGTGTGGTTGGCCACAGCTCTGTTACTAATGTCTTGTGCGATGGAGGATCTGTTTCTAATGGAGATGCATGTTCACTCACACAACTAATAAACTGCACATAAAAATCTAGCAATTACTCAAACATAACTGTGCAAAGCCACAATCAAACAAATGGTGGATTGTTTTATGCTGTTTTATCAGTTGCTCTGAACCATAGGCTATTGATGACCACTCTAACAAGCATGTTCCCCCGCAAAGCAGTCTACCTCTTCCACCTCTTTCCTGCCTTCTCTACATGGTACTGCTATTCTGTAAAGTATTTATGAGCAGTTTCCTGTGCTGACAGAGGAACTTCATGAGATGCACAGAGGACAACCCAATCTTTGAAGGAATCGACTGTGAAATCTTCGAGTCTCGATACCCAACCACTATGGCTCTGTCTGTGCTGGTGACAATCGAAATGTGCAACGCTCTGAACAGGTATGGCTGGTGCAGGATAATCCTGTGTGCTCTCCACCTCACCTCTTCCACGGGGTGTTTCTTTGAATATCTGTTAGTGGGCAGTGTAAGAACATGGAGAAAGGCTAAGGAGAGTCTTTGGTTTGACTCGGCAGAGCCATTCTGAGTGATCTTGTAGGGGACTATTGGCCTACCATAAATTTCTCCAAGTTGATGTGTCACTGTTAGCAGCGGTTATGAGGGAACAGGGTAGGAATGACTAGATCTGCATCCTTTAGTAGAGTTTTGCCGTATTAACATCCAGTCCTGATCCATGCATAGCTGGCTATATTCACATGGCTGCTCAAACCTGAGCTGTGGCAAAGCCTGAAGCTTTGAAATGTGGAAGAGGGGACTATACTACATAGCCCTGCACCCTGGAGAGAGGTGGAAACCTTCTAGCTTGGACACACTTGTTGCAAAGAGAGGATATTTGGACTAACGTCTGTCCCCTCGCTTTCACAGTGTGTCTGAGAACCAGTCGCTGCTACGGATGCCCCCGTGGCTCAACATCTGGCTGCTGGGGGCAATTGTCATGTCCATGGCCCTGCACTTCCTCATTCTCTACGTCAAGCCCATGCCTGTAAGTGCTCTGTGCTCTGTCCCGGCACAACTCATGGTGGGCTCCTTCCCTGGATGAGCATCTCTCCTGGCCGTGTCTTGTGTGGCACCTTTGTGTCTGGAAGCTGTTGGGATGATCCTTCCTGGCCGGTGCTAGAGGACCAGGACTTGAAACATGGGGGCCATGATTGATCCTGTCCCAGTGAGGGGTAGCTCTTACTTGAGGTAGCTCTTCGTGGGCAGCACAAAGAGGTGCAGATGCCTCCAGGAAAGAGCTCAGCCCCTTCTGGAGGTGTCGCCTCCCTTTGCAGTCCAACGCTGCCGATGCCTTGGGGTGAGCGAGATGAGGTGGTCACTGTCTAGGGGTGTGTGTGTCCTGTCCTGCTCCTCAGTTCCACTGTGCACATGGTCAAAGTCCTGGTCCAGGCTTCATTTTATCCATCTGTTCAGGAGAGGTGAGGGGCATCACTTTCGACTCCTGGCCAGGAACCAACTTTTGTCCTTGACAAACCTCAGAGAAATCCTGCTCCTTGACCTGTCTGGACCCCTCCGTGTTCCCAGACTGATCTTTGCCGCAATCTGTGACAATACAGCAGAAGTTAACCTGGTCTTTAAAACAAAAAAATCCCATCTCCATCCCTATTAATATGTCAAATCCTTTCTGCCTTGCAGCTCATCTTCCAAGTAACCCCCCTGAGCTGGCCACAGTGGGTGGTTGTACTGAAAATTTCCCTGCCTGTTATCCTGCTCGATGAAGGACTCAAGTACCTTTCCCGCAACCACTTAGACGGTGAGCATGGTCTGCAAGGAAACAGCTGCTGCCTGATGCTGTGTTTGCTCCATGGCGCTTTGCTTGGGGTTGCTTGATGGCTTCGAGGCCCCTTGTTCACCTTCTGCCCGAGTTTGCCTCCTGCATGGTTGTCTGCTTTCTCCAGCACGGCATGCTGTGGAAGTCAGTCTTCTCCCAGTACCCCCTTCCTTACCGGCTGCTCTGTCAGGCATCGCTGTTGATACTAAAATCTGCTTGAAATATTCCCTAGAAGTTGGAACAACAGATAAATCTGCCACGTGTGTTTATCCAGCTCCTCTTGAATCTCTGGGAACCAAATTTAAAGCAAAACAAAGCAAACGCTGGTTGCTAACAGGAATCCTTCCCTCCTGCTTTCCTGGATCTTCCATCTCTCTGTGGCCATCCTTCTGCCAAGTCTGCCATGGCTATTTTAAGACCAAACCATGCAAACATCTTTAAAACTGTTTCTGGCAGGTGTTGCCATTGACTCCCTGGCCGGGGCTCAGGCTGGTGGCAGACAGAGGTAGGAAAGCAGCTCAGATGAGGCCAGGGCTGTTTACAGCAGGGCCAGGGCTCCTGTGCCCCGCAGGGCTCTGTGCTGTAAATCACAGCAGGTGTTTAGATGGCCCCCTGAAAAATATTATGTCATCTTTTCTTACATTTCTTGCAAAAGATGTTGCTGTGGGCGATGCCTGTGTGCTGAGTTAAACCTTCCAGTTCACAGGCCTGGCTTTTTCTCCCCATGGGTCCCAGCATCCTAGCAAAACTCGCCTCCTCGAACCACGAATGTTCCTGAACGGCAGGACGGGGCTGGGGGGCTGCCCTGGCCTCAGCTCCCTGCACCACCTGCTCACCCAGAAGCTGAGCATGGATGGGGACAGGTGAAGCAGGGAGCTCTGAGGAGGTTTGGTTTCTCTTGGAGCTCAACTGCACGATTGCAAAGAGCTACAAACGGCAAAAGGGAAATTGGGACAAGCCGGCCTGGCACTGCCCACCCATATTTCCCACTGCTCCATCTTGCCAGGGAACGGCCGGCTGGGGATGCTTGCCCCAGCTCTCCTGCTCGGCTGACCCTCCCCACAGACACGGAGTTGGGCAGGCTTCTGCTTTTACAGAGCAGATGGAAATTGCCTATTTTTAATGGATGCATCTCTCAGCAGCGCTCAGGTGTTTTGCATCAGCCAGGGCTGCTCACTGTCATTGCAAGGCTGCCGCAGTAACCTCGTGGCGCTAGGCTAGGATTTGGGCAAGTAAATGGAATTCTTGGTTGTCACAGTCCACGCGTGGCCCTGGTCTTGCCTTCACTTTCTGTGGTGTGGGGATGAGTCTGTCTTTCTCCCACACTTTGCAATTCTCTCTAAAAACTAAATGTTTCTTGAAGAGGACTTTTCCTCACTGTACCTACAGCTCCAAGCAGAGTGGGGTTTCTGGAACACGTGCCACTTTCCGCATCTGGTGATACCGCTCACACTATTTCCCACTTTTGGGTTGTGCCTGTTTCCCTGAGCCACATCCATCCACGCGGTCACGGTGCTGGTCATGCTGGTGCTGGTCATGCTAACTGGTCACTGTGTCTCATTCAGCAAGAGTTTCCAATGCAGCTCTTTAATCACAGCCACAGAGCAAAATCATGTTTAAATCATCCCATTTGAAAGACATAATTAAAACTTTGCATCTTTCTAAGACCTCGGAGCAGATTGACTTAAAAAAGCAAAACAAAAACCACTGTGATTTTTTTGCCAGGAATTCTGAGGACAGTAAGAAACACGTGGAGTGGGGAGCACCGGTTGAAAACCTGCAGGACTCCAGAGCAAACAGGGTTGGCTTTCTTACGTGCATCATCCTTGAATACCGTGTTCTTGTGCTGCTGCCAAAGTTCGTCATGTGTGGTGGGGACTTGCTTGGATCAAGTCTGGGTGAACGTGCCTTTGAAAACTACCTGATAATGTGTCTGTGGTGGGGATGTCTCTTGCCCCTGATTTGTTGCCTTCCTCCTAGTGAAGGGTGGGGAGATGGTGGTGGTCGTGAAGCAGGACTGGTGAGAAGCCACACAGGTGGAGCTGGTTATGATGGTGGTGGCTTGGAGACTCTTGAAGTCCCATCTTGTCTGTTTTTGCTGTGATTTCTTGGTGGCTGCAGGTCAGCACTGCCAAGCAGGACCCTCAGTTTCTGTGTCTGTCAGTTTTGTAAATAAGGAAAGTGTCTGGCAGAGCGGGCTCTCCTCTCAGGAGGTGTAATGTAGCACTGCAAAGGTCATGAAGATGAAAAGCATTAGAGGTCGTTAAGATAAACCCTGACCTCTAGGCCAGGCTTTCCAGAATTGCTGAAAAGAAATCCATGTGCCCAAGTGTTCATCATTCGGATCCCAACTTGGGAAGAGACGCAGAACTAAAATCTTGATCCTTTCACCTTGCAAGTGCTCCAGTATGAGGGTTCCTCTTCCTAGCAGTGGCTTCCCATGTCTTCCTTCACAAAGAGGTCTCAAAATCCCATGAAACTGCTGTTTCTGTGGCAGACAACACAAGGAGCCAGGCCATAATGTAGCCTCTGCAGGACGATGCTTGGGTGATGGTCCCCGACATGGGACACCGCACAGTTCTGAGTGAGAAGGCCCAAAGTGCCCAGCCCAGCTGCCCACTTGGCTCCCTGCAGATCACCCAGGGCTTCATCCCTCTCAAAAACTCGGTGCATTTTTGTCGCTTAGCATTAGCTGTTTCTCGAGGCCAAATCTTCATCCTTAAGGGGTGGGTGCAGATTTATAGCTGTGAGTTCTGCTGACTTTATTTTCACATGAAAAAGCTGCTTCTTCGATCAGGTCTAGATAAGTTGCATTTCCATTGATTTTCTTTCTTTTTTCCTCTTGAAACGGAAGAAAGTGGAGACTCTTGAGATTCTACTCTTCTCTCAGTATTTTACATGCCTCTGCACACATCCGACATCCACTGCATATTTATCACTGTCTGCACCAGTGATAAAAAAAAGAGAAAAAATGCACCAGGGTGCATGTTGAGTGGCATCAGCATGGTCTGACCCGTGGGTGTTCGGGGAGGGAACTTGGAGGTCTTCTCCAAGGTCTCCACAAAGTCCTCTCCAACCACTGCACCCTGGAGGATCATGAGGGTTTTGCTCTGGCTGCTGACCGCACTCAAGAACCTCTTGAGGCGAAAATTTTAATGTTTGCCATTCCCTATGTATCTAAGTAAGTATATTTGCTCTCTCTCAGCCCTGTAGCATGCAGGAGGAAGGTCTGCAGGGATCTGTGCCAAAATAAAGGAGAAATCTTATTTTCTCGGTGGTTTCAGGAAGGTATTAAACTCAGAGAAGTCGCGGTGATTGCCATCAGTGCTCGCTCCCCTCCATGTGCCAGCAGCCACTTCTCCTGACCGTCTTGCTGCCCCTCTGGTCACCTCTGCCCCGCACCTCCTCATCGTCCTGCTCATTTTCCCTACCTTGAAGCAAGCTTGGCCCGTTTGCCAGTGCTGCGGCACCACCTTGCTTTTCCAGCCATCCTCAGCCTGTGCAGGTGGTAGTAGCAGCACGGTCTCCGTGTGGACAAAGCACCATCCCCTCTCCAGGAGCCGCGAGTGGCAGCGGGGCCGGGTCTGCGCGGCCGTGACGTGTCCTTGCAGGGTAGGGGCTGCGCATGGCCAAGGGGCAGGAACGCGGCCTGCCAGGCCCAGTCGCTTGTGCGAGTTGTGGGACGCGCTCGAGGACAGCGTTGCTGCACCTGGGAGTGTGCAGATCTCTCAGGATGGCACCTTACAGCTCTACTGGCTTATTTTTTCTCTTTTTTTCTTTCCTTTCCTCTTTTTTTTTTTCCTTTTCTATTTTTCCTTTCCCCTTCTTTTTTTCTTTTCTCTTTGGCTTTTTCCTTTCCCTTTCTCTTTTCCCTTTCCTTTCCTTTGTCCATGCTGTGCTAGAAACAGGCGAGCAGAGGGAAATGGGAGGAAAACCTCCTCCTGCCGCAGGACCAGGCTGTGGGAACAGCAAAGCTGTGGCTGGCTGGGAGTGCAGCGCTCGGTGCCGCCGCTGTGCCAGTCCCGAGGGATGTGAGCAGGTTTCCCTTTCCCTCTCCTTCCAGGTCGCAGCACCTCATCTGAAGCTGCCAAGGCCTTTTTGGAACTTGTTTGCTCGGGTGGTTTTGCTCACAGTCATATTTGCAAAAGTGTCTGGAGAGGTTGAGGAGCCTGAGGCTGTGGTTAAACGTTTGGGGTCGGTGCTACAGCAGTGCCCCTTCCTGTCCCTGCGTCACCCTCAGGGTCTGCCTGTGGAGCTGGTTGCACAACCACGAGATGCGGTAGATTGGGGAACTGCAGTGGCCAGCCAGGGAACCGCCTTTTCGTTGCTCGTTGCTCTGGTGGGGACAGCTTAGCTGCCCGAGATGCCCAGTATTTCTCAGTTATTTTTGAGTCATGACATTTCTGCTGGCCTTCTTTGGGTGAAAACTCCTTCTTAGGAGCTGTATTTCTCAGTTATTTTTGAGTCATGACATTTCTGCTGGCCTTCTTTGGGTGAAAACTCCTCTGCATTTCTTCCCTTGTGGTGGTCCTTCAGAGTAGCCTGGGGACTCCTCTGCTTGGACATCCCTGGCAGGGGTTGTGGCGGTGGCTCATGGTGGGGCAAGTGGGATCTGGCTCCTTGCTCAGGAGCTGGGGACTACAGGTGCTCCTCACTTTGCCGGTGAGCGTGGTGGAAGCGCACGTGCCTTTCCTGGCCCGTGCCCAAGCTGTGTGTGCCACGGAGCTCTCTGGACACATGGGGTCATTGGGACAACTGTTTGCACAGACCAGCTGTGGGCACAGCTCCCTAACAAGTGCAGATTGGTAACTCCAAAGGCTCCATCAGGCTTGAGGAGCTCAGGGATACGCTCCATACAGGTGTAGGGTCAAATTGCTCCACCAGCAGCATACGGGCTGTGTTGAGAGCCAAAGCAGAGCTTCATGCTCCTTGCTTGGAGGCATCCACCTTCTTGTTCATTGGTGGTTTGGGGATGGACCTTGTTCTTTCGTTGCCCATGACTCCTGTCAGCAGCGGTGAATGATCCCTGCCTGTTCGCCTTCCCTTCCCGTGGTTGTGTGGCTCTGTTGTGCCCCTTGCTCTAACTAGTTTCTTTGAGCTCTAACCAATGCTTCTCTTTTTCTTTGTTTCAGGAGAAGAGGACAAGAAATGAATGACACAAAGGAAACTCTCCTAAATAAAGGAAGCCTAACTTGTAACTCGGACTGAAGTCTTGCATGTTGACCATCACTAGAAGCCAGCAGGACATGCATGTGTCCGACTATCCGGCAAATGCGGGTGAATTGTTGAAAAGAGAAATACTGATTTTGTTTTGTTTCGTAGCTTTTTTTTTTTTCCTGTACATAACAGTGCAATTACTGGACAGCTGAAGTATGGTTTGGGAATGGACCTATATGTAACTGAATCATTGTAACCCTGTTCCTCGGGTATTTATTCCTGCAAAATGTTAGACCCTTTTTAAAATTTTCACCCTAACAGGTGAGCTGAGTCAAGGCATCCTTCACAGGTCATCAACAGGGGAGCCTGGTTTTTAAAGCAAGACTCTGTGAAAAGTGGATGGGAGGACACTTTCCTGAGCTGGGCAAGATGACACCAGGACAGCTCTCAGCTAGGAAGGGGTAGGATCCATGCAAGGGAGGAAGCGAGGAGGGACACGTGGCAGCAGCAGATCACGGCCCCTGAGTAGTGGTGTCTGCAGGAGCGTCGCGCACAGGCGCCGTGCGAGGGTAGCTGCGGTGCCCAGACGCTTCGGCAGCACCTCTGAAGGTAGTTTCAAGGCTTAGTGCCCAAATTCTGGGTAACTTCCCGTATGGTAGAGCTTGTGGACATGTATTTATACGTAGCGATGGCGTGTGCGTGCTTGTGTGTGGTGGCTGCTGAAGATCTCCCTATTTATCATGTCGATCCCTGTTTTTCTCCTTGTTGGGGAAAACCCTGCACCTTCTCAGGCCCCCCAGATACCAAGTGTGGCTTAATCTTTTGTCCTCTACAGACTGTCTTGTTAGATCTCCTGCACTGTTTAAGCTGTAGCCACCTTCCTTGCAGAGCCAACCATTTAAACAAAACCTGGGAATGAACAACTTTGGATTCCTCACATCTACGGCTCGTTTCTGGTCCTGGTCCCTTTACCAAGTTAACTTCTTCAATACTTCCCTGGCAGGAGTCATGTATAGAGCTTAAGTCTTTAGAAGCACCTGTCCATTAGTTTGTGTTCTCTGGGGGGACAACGCTGTCTTGCACAAGACATCCTTGACATCAGCAGCTTGCTGTCAGGATGGGAATGAATGTATGCTTGTACGTAATATCCTCCTCTGTTTTTCATGGAATCCCTTTTTATAAGGCACCAGATGTATTTTAAAATCTT